AACCATTTGAAAATTTGAAGTAAAGTCAAGCGAAATAATATTGCTGCACATAGAAAGAGAATTAGAAATATAATCCGTTGACATTTCTGAGAAAGAAAAATACCCATTAAAATAGAGGTGTCTGAAAGACTTTACATGGCTGAATATATTGTCAAATGTTCTTTTATCATAGCGAATGATGAGAAAATCTTCTAGACTGCCAAATGACTTCCAAAGATAACCATTATTCACTAAATCTCTAAATCGTCTACAAATAGGTGAAACATTGAATAATGAAATCCCTTCACGTCATAACCAATAGAATTAAAATTCTACACTTAGTTGAAGGTTCAGTTTAAGCTTTTTTGGACAAATGAAATTTCGGCTATAGTTTTGACTGATAAGGTGTGCAAAAATGAACCAATAGACGGTCTCAAGGTTAATCGACGGCATGACCCTCTGGGTGCAAAACGACTGGGGCGAGCTCACGGTCGGCCATACATTCTTTGTAATTTTTTTCGTAGTACCATACCCGATTCGTAATTTCGTTTTGAGCAGGAACATCGACACGAAACTCAGTGAGTGGTTAGACAAAGTCATCAGCTAAATTGTGTATAACTTTTYTGAGGTGATACGTTGAATTTTCAGCAAGTTATGGATTTTTTTGTCAAAATTTGTTGTCCCGGCTGATACCCAGCGAAGTTAAGGCATGGCTTTCAGAGACTGATTAACCCCCAGCAGAGTTTTATTGCACTAGGGGTCTGGGGGGACCCGTTGTCTAGCAACAGTCAACTGCATTTTAATGGCATCCAATGGCACTAGCGACGGGGAGAGAAATTTTATACCGTATTTTGTCAAATACTGTTTATATGAATTGAAATTTAGTTGTAGTTTCGGGTATTTCGAAGAAGCGAATATTTTGGAATTTGTGTCCTCCWACGGTCAAGAAAATGAACATTTCAATAAGGTGAGTGCATTGTTTCTCCTTCACGATAGTTAAGACTTTAGTAATTGCTTTGGCACACTGAACGACAACAGCAAGCTTAAGTTTAAAAATACGCAGTCAAGGAATGCATGTGACTCAGGCTAAAGAGGTTGAATAGTAAGAGARACTGTAATTTGAAGTCTTACAAATCACATGAACAGAGTCAATCTTGCAGTTGTTAAACATCGCTGCGAAGCTCAGCCTTTGATMTTACTTTGTAAACACATTGGAAACTTGAGCTGGTAGATTMTTAGTAGGTAATATCTGCTGGTCTTCATAGCTGGATGGATAGAGTGCATTCTGTAGTACGTTATTGCACTGCTGAAGCTGCTTCGACGATGGTCGTCTGTTGTAGCTCATCAACGATTGCTCGTTGCGATGCCCTGAAATAGCCATAATATGACGACTCGCTAAGCCGCTGTTGGACCACAGAGTAATTGCCGTCGCTCTAACGCAATGGTTGGTATAAACTCTGGACAATTTTGCTGATAAACGTAGCTCTTGCATCATCTTCCCCAGCTTATTTACTCCAAGCACGCGATTTTCGTACCAGACGGCCTCAGACTTTCCTCTCCAGTTTCTCTTTGGGAACTGAAAAAAAGCTTCACACATTGGATTGARTTTGCTTATGTACAAGCACAGGGCGTTGTAAACATCGTTTTCCTCATCTGTTTGGTACATGCGGGGGGGTGTTGGGTGCTAATCGTCCTTCATGGCAGCATAGGTGCTGAATTGCGAAAGACGCAGCTCGACGCGCTCTCAAGTCGAAGTGCTATATTACAGACACATTTTACAGACACTTACACATAGGCGTGCTGCCGGCTAGGCGCTTCCTTTACATAGCAACGAACGACTGAACGCGGAGCACAGCAGATAGAAATGGTTCGTTTTTGAAGAATGCGGACTAGTAGCTGTCTTCACGACCACCTGGTCGGTTTTTCGTGGCCTGGTCATGTGTCATTGTTGCGTATGGTTTGCCATTCTCGTCGACAAGAAACTGAAAGCTTGACTTTGTTAGATTTCTTTGCCCTTCACCTCTTCACCTCTTCTGCACCAAAATAATGTCGTATGAAACCATACATTCATTGGGAGTGTGCCAGGGCTCTCTGGACTGATCGCAGGACTGCTTTTGAGCTTTACAAGATCTTCGTCGCTGATTGCGGGCTTGTGTTGGACGCTCAGCTTGCCTTCTTGCTTGAGGTTTTTCAACTTTGCATCTAGCATGTTGTTAGAACTTTTGAAGGTTGGATTGCCACTAAATTGCAGACCTTTGTTATGTGGAGGACTGTTTAAATACCGCTCAAGTCCACTTTTTAGACCAAGGATTGAACTTTTCGAGTAGTTTTCGCCTTGTTTGTTTCTAACTTCAGCATAAAATTTGCGTGTGTCATCTAGATCTTTAGCAGATAAATCCTCCAAATCGGGATTAAAGCCTCTCTCTGTCGCCCACTCTAAATGGTAAGATATTTTATCAAAATTAATCAGTATAGTCAGGATAGGTTTCTGTTTTAATATTAATTTAACATTGTATAAACTTGTTGATAGTTGTTGCCATTCTCGTTTCTCCGGCTTTTAACTTCTTTGATTTGTAATCGCCGCTTGTCAGTGTTTCAATCATATTATTAGAAAAAATAAATATTTGACGGTTCCTTGAATAAAAGTGTCTGTTTTTTTTATTAACAATGTTACTTTTACCTTTGTAAACTTTTACAGCATGTGCAGTTGAGTACTTTGTCGACTTTTGTTTGGACTCGTCGACGAGTTTGTCTAGGTCATTATCCGATAACTCGGCAAAGCGACAGCTTTTCTTTCTCATTTTCCACTGGTGTAGTAATTTCAGATACGTCTAACATGCCATTTTCATTTTCAAAATTTATGAGAAAATTTGGAAAGGTGGCCATTTTGAACGTTCAAAATTACCGCGAAGTTGTGTTGCTGTTACGTCATTTTATAATCTTCATAGTCCTATGAAAACACACCTATCGGCCAATCAGAACGCGCGTAGTATCTAAATTATTTTATAATAAACAATTTAATATGGAATATATATAACTAAAGACTTGTAACTACCTATTATATGTAGGTGGTATAAACAGTATATCAATAAACGATGAAGGTGTTGTGCACACTAAAACGTTTTTTTTTATAACACTTTGTATTGTTTTACATTTCGTTAAGAACGGAGTAAAGTACAATTACCCTTCGAAAACTGATCAACGTGGGGGTGTTGAAATTTACATCAGGCATATCCTCAATTTGCTCAATGATGGTGAACTCATTAGTGTTGAGGAACCCTCAAATTTTTAAATAGGTATGTTTTCCACTGTTTACTTTGTTTATGGAATCTTCCCAACGTACTATCTTAATGCTTTCTGTCCGGTCTGCAATATATGCATCAACTTTATATTTTGGCATTTCTTATTAGAACCTTTTCTTTCACACCATCTTTTTGTATACTTTGCCTTTTATGTCAACTCTCTCATACACATCTTTTGACAGTGCTTCTTCTATTGTACCGAGTCTGTTATTCATTTCGTGCTTGTATTCAAATGGCAATTAACAAGGTACAATTTTGGCTTCCTTAGAGATGGTAAATTCATCAGAACCACTATGATATCTTTTGGTGGCCTTCCTTACGCCAGTTATCTTAATGGGTGATTTGTTTATGTAAGCTTGTTGGAGATTGACTCTTTTCTTTGGAGAATAGAAGAGAATAGCTGATTCGGAATCAGAGAGCTGAATTTTAAAGTCAAAATAGCTCGATGTCGAGTTTGAGGTAGATTCATCAGTCAACAGGTGTACATGTCCTTCAATAGATGTATCTAAACAGAAAAAAATACATAATTATATACAAATTCTTGATAAAGCATATTTTTGAATATGCACTGCAGAGGAAACAGTTATAAATCATGAGTGTATAAACAATGAAAATGATATTTTTACCTAGATTATCTTTCGACATCTTTTACTGGAAGGGAAAAAGGTAATGAAAAAGTCTCGAGTAGTGTGTGTTGTAGCTGGCTTACTGTAGTTCACTGATAGAGAGCAGATCTGAAAGAAGAATAAGTAATGAATTAGATGTTAAGTAAAAAATAAAATAGTAAAAAGGTAATTATTATTTAAGTGTAAAGAAATACTTACTTTAAAAATATCTTWCTATATATATATTACTAGTTTTGATTGAATTATTGCATATAAAACTGATTGTTGTGTGTATACAAGATTAATATTAAAATTCTAAATACAATGACATAAATGTACAATCACCAAAMATTTTGTTGATCATCAGAGTAAAGAAAATATGGTAGTCATTTATACATTATAGCACAAGTATTGTAGTATTAATGGTCCATTTTGTTCCTTTGTTTTTTGACCATCATAAGCATGATGTGATGACTATATTTTAGTTAAAGCAGTTAACCAAGGCACAAATGGGCTTGTGATCTGAAAAGTAGGTCTCTAAAATCTGGAACTGTATTTCTGATTCAGACAAATTAGTATAGATGTGGTCAATACAAGTCTTGCTGTCTGTAGTACTACATGAAACTAGCTGTCTATAAGCATTCTGTGTTACGAAAAAGTATTTAGTACCTGAGAGAGCATTGTTTGCTCTAGCATTAAAGTCATTTACTTTTGCATTTTGAATGAACACATGTGGAGCATCTTTGGGATACTCACGACTAGTGATATATAACTCTTCGTTTTAATTTCTGGATATCTTCTTTGGTGTGATTCCCCTCTCTTAATCTATTTAATAGAACAGTTTCGCGTAAGGCACTTTTTGCATGCAAATTAGCTGGATAGCAAAATAGGATGCAAATGAGCAGTATCAACTCGTGGATAAAAACGTAACAACAACACATCAACTGAAACGGTATTTTATTATTTTTATAGAGCTACGATTTTGCCTAAAATACTATAAGTATGACAATAAAAATAACTGTAAAAATCGTATTATGAAAATCTTTAGATATTCACAAACCTTTTTTACACCACAAACTTTAGAAATGAAACTCAAAGCACAAAATAACTGTTTTTAGATGTTCTGAAAAAGTCGGACGCGCCTTTTAGCTAAAAACGCTGCAAGTTCAATGCACACAGGCATTAACCATCTCGGATGCCTCCATATGCTTCATGTCTTTAAAAACGTGTTCTATTTTGATTCTTCTACTGGAATGACACCTATTAAAATTCACTGCACGTCGTCTGTTCCTCCCATTTAAAAGTCTCATTTGCTGTGCTCTTACTGGTGTGGTTTGGGGACCTCCATCAGGATATGCTTTATCCGCTAGCAATTTACATGCAGCAGGAAGATGAAAAATTTGTCCTGGTCCAATCGGTGCCATAAGACGATATGAAGCTGCATCATGAGTGCTTCCTAAGAAACCGGCATGGACGTAGCGTAAATGACCAGTGTTATCTATGATGACTTGTGTGTGAAAACAATGGTAGTGTCGGTGTCTACTGTAAMATTGTTGTTGAGGTTCTACTAAAGGCCGATAAATCTCATGCGGAGTAGAATCTATGCACCCTACAGCGTTTGGAAACTCCGGCCAATTCCCCATAAAGTTTAACCACTCTGCGTTATTCGGCCAACTTATTTGATTGTGGTAATATTGCCACATTTCAGGTATAATATTATGTATGATTCGTTGTATGCTTGCCGGGTCTACATCAAACATGAGAGTATCCTGATGAGGATATTTTCTAAGCCAAATCAAAACTAGTAAAATTTGATTTGTAAAATTTAATTTTTGACGTCTCACTCTCTGACGTTGTTGTCCATATATATTTTGACGAAACAAGGATGGAGTGAGGTCAGCAACAAGTTGCAAGAAAGATTGCCGGGTCTCACCAGTGTTCAGCCAAAACAACCAAGACTGTCCAGAAATAAGTGAAAAAACGTCACGTCCTTGATAATTGTAGCCGTGAAAACCCGCCAGTAAGCGCTGTTGCAAGGAAAGCTGTGCATATTCAATAGGAGTCTGTAAAGCCACTAGAACCATGAGGAAACTTAATATTACCATTAAAGCGGAACGCAGTTGTAATAAATCCATTTTCAAAATGTTTTCAAAAAACGCATGCATTGTATTTATGCACGTGCGCGAATAATCATGGTGATACATTCCAAGTAATTGATTTCATCGTGCTCTAAGGTCTTCTCAAGTCTCACTGATTGCAAAACTTGCTACGAGTCAGAACATAAAGCTCAATACTACAACTCAATACAGCTTGTTTTCAAAACTTGCATTTTTCTTATCTAATGGCTAATATCCAAGTCAATCTTGAATGTGAGATAGCGCAGTAAAAGTTACAATTATTTTAGCGCTATGCTCTGTAAGTTTGCTGTAGCTTTAGCTGTACCTAACACGTGTATTTTCATTAGACGAAGGAAAAACTTCTAGCCGTGTCACAATTGGTGACATTGAAAAAAAGCTAGTTCTAGACTGTTACAACAAAGCTATGGGGAAAGGATGGAACGAAGTTTACAGTTTGGCATAACAACGAGTCTATGATGCTGGGCTTCCCGAGAGAGTTGTGCATATATATTTAGACGCATCTCAACAGAGAGTAGTCAACCGAATGAAATCCATCGTCAAAACAGCTTTGGCGAAGCCAGCCCCTAATTGCTCTTCAGCAGTATCAACGACAATTTATGATGGAGCTCTACGTGATGCCAAAGACCAACAAATGCGTTATGCAGTGAAAGAAACGCCASCACAAAGACGAGTCCATAACAAGCTTAGGGCTGAGTTTATTTATTCTTCAAGTGAAACCGATGAGGAAGACCAAGCTGAAGCAGCAGCTGGACCAAGTGGAAAGAAAAGAAAGACCGACAGAGGTGTAGCACGAGAGGCACACGAAGCTCACGAAGCAATGTGTTCCAAAGCAATGGAGACAATGGATCATGTAAAAGATTTTCTTACCAATGTTGAATCACAAATAAAAAAGGACAGTAAAATAATTTGTATGAGAGTATTARATTAGCTCTATATAATAATAAAATACCGTTTCAGTTGATATGTTGTTGTTACGTTTTTATCCACGAGTTGTTGATACTGCTCATTTGCATCCTATTTTGCTATCCAGCTAATTTGCATGCAAAAAGTGCCTTACGCGAAACTGTTCTAATAATTCAGCAAAGTCTTTACTTTCTCTTTTTCTCATTATTTGTTTGAGTTCAAACATTTKAAAAAGTTCTTTCCACACATTAGGTGCAAGAGCACCATACTCATCATTATCCATTTCTTTAAATATATAACCATCCATTACTGGTTGCAATTGGAACAAATCTCCTATAGCAACAATACTAACACCACCAAATGGTTGTGAGCTACCTTTGATATTTTTGAGTCTATTATATATTTGAACAGTGAACATGGTGTTTCCAACCATAGATATTTCATCAATAAATATCAGCTTAAGTCCACCAATCTGGCATCTTAATGTATTTAGCCTACTTGAATCAACACTTTTATAGTTTTTCAATGATTGACATGCTGGTATTGCTAGACCATATGAATGGTATTGCCCTTTATATTATATGCTGCTTCCCCTGTAGGTGCTAGCATCAATACTTTTACTTCATTAAAGTTNACTAACACCACCAAATGGTAGTGAGCTACCTTTGATATCTTTGAGTCTATTATATATTTGAACAGTGAACATGGTGTTTCCAACCATAGATATTTCATCAATAAATATCAGCTTAAGTCCACCAATCTGGCATCTTAATGTATTTAGCCTACTTGAATCAACACTTTTATAGTTTTTCAATGATTGACATGCTGGTATTGCTAGACCATATCTTTGAGTCTATTATATATTTGAACAGTGAACATGGTGTTTCCAACCATAGATATTTCATCAATAAATATCAGCTTAAGTCCACCAATCTGGCATCTTAATGTATTTAGCCTACTTGAATCAACACTTTTATAGTTTTTCAATGATTGACATGCTGGTATTGCTAGACCATATGAATGGTATTGCCCTTTATATTATATGCTGCTTCCCCTGTAGGTGCTAGCATCAATACTTTTACTTCATTAAAGTTAATACCAGTTAATACCAATATTTCAATGCAKCTTGATACAAGGCTTTAGCAACATGTGATTTACCAACGCCTGCACCACCACTTAAGAAACAGTAAAATGCTTCATAAATGCCGTACATGATAGAAAAACYCTTTCTGCTCCTTATTTAATGTCTGGACCATATGTCTATATTCATCATCAGGTAATTCATTCATTGTGAGTGGTTCAGTATTATCAACTGATGGTATACTTAAATCATCTGACAGATTCTAGTTTCCAGTGAAGTCGGGATGCAAGTCCTGATCACCTTCAGCTTGGTCTTGTTGTTCAAGACTTTGTGTACAAGGAGCTATTTCATCAAACCTGTCTTCTATCCTATTCATGTCTTGTTGTATTTCATTGAAATCCTCATTACAAACTGCATATTGCTTCATTTGTTCATTTATTACATTAGCAAGTAACATATATCGTTCCTGATAGGAAGAAAATGCACCTAGTAGATCAGTTTCCTCATCTCGCCATGGAGAAAAAAGCATTAGGAGTTCACGATAATGTTTCTCTGGCTGAGATTCCTAATTGAACCAAACACTTCTTATTATTCTAGCTTTAGTCTTTTTTTTAGTTTTGCTGCATGATTCTTTATCAGCTTGTGCTGCATCATCATTTTGATTATCATCAATAAAAATCTCCAAAGGGAGACCATCAATATCAACCTCATTAGTTTGTTTTATATACGGCTTGCCTGTACAATCGCACCAAGCAGCCCAATCTGCAAGCGTAAGATTTTCTAAATTTGCTGGTCGCATGCAATATCTTTTTAGTAAACCACTAGTGTATATTTCTTCTGATATATTTCTTCCATGTTTTTGATGTCATCCATAGGTTTTAAAAGCTCCACCCTTTCACTAGGCTCAGTCTCCAGCCGTCGGKATTTCGTGCRCCCGCGATACTCTCTCCCCTGACGGCTGGGCGCATGGGGTTCGAAACGTGTCGCGCATGTCCGTGACGTTTTTGTGTAATTAGCATATTATGACGTAACGGAAGTGAATTTTTCAGTGAACGGAAGTGAAATATCTGACAACAGCCGTAAAGGTTTTGCTACAAGGCGGGAAATTATGTGAAATGAAAACTTCGCGAAGTAGCGATATAATGTAATAGTTAGCGCTTTAAAAAAGAGAAAGGAATGGAAATTACCCCAAGTAAAACATGTGCAGGGTTTAATAATCCAAATGGATGTATTATCTGCCAGAAAAACGAGCAAAATACACTAGTGGCGCTGTTTGAAAAATAAGAGATTTGCCCGAGCCAGTATAGGAAGAATAACAAGGACATCTTTTCCAAGAACAATCTCTTTAAGAGCCTTTTGCTGTATTTCTCTAAATTCGTCCAAGCTAAACGACTTCAGAGCCTTCAAACAAGCACTTTCAAAGAGAATCTCAAACGACGAATTGTACGCCATTTTGTTACACTGCTGCCTGCTAATTTATTAATGATATGCCCCTCAAAATATCGGGGGCCACTCGCTGATTGGTCAAGACTGACAATAGCGAACCTCATGCGCCCAGCCGTCAGGGGAGAGAGTATCGCGGGCGCACGAAATCCCGACGGCTGGAGACTGAGCCTANTAGGCTCAGTCTCCAGCCGTCGGGATTTCGTGCGCCCGCGATACTCTCTCCCCTGACGGCTGGGCGCATGGGGTTCGAAACGTGTCGCGCATGTCCGTGACGTTTTTGTGTAATTAGCATATTATGACGTAACGGAAGTGAATTTTTCAGTGAACGGAAGTGAAATATCTGACAACAGCCGTAAAGGTTTTGCTACAAGGCGGGAAATTATGTGAAATGAAAACTTCGCGAAGTAGCGATATAATGTAATAGTTAGCGCTTTAAAAAAGAGAAAGGAATGGAAATTACCCCAAGTAAAACATGTGCAGGGTTTAATAATCCAAATGGATGTATTATCTGCCAGAAAAACGAGCAAAATACACTAGTGGCGCTGTTTGAAAAATAAGAGATTTGCCCGAGCCAGTATAGGAAGAATAACAAGGACATCTTTTCCAAGAACAATCTCTTTAAGAGCCTTTTGCTGTATTTCTCTAAATTCGTCCAAGCTAAACGACTTCAGAGCCTTCAAACAAGCACTTTCAAAGAGAATCTCAAACGACGAATTGTACGCCATTTTGTTACACTGCTGCCTGCTAATTTATTAATGATATGCCCCTCAAAATATCGGGGGCCACTCGCTGATTGGTCAAGACTGACAATAGCGAACCTCATGCGCCCAGCCGTCAGGGGAGAGAGTATCGCGGGCGCACGAAATCCCGACGGCTGGAGACTGAGCCTACCCTTTCACCAGGAGGTAAAGTATTTATAAATATGATCTGTCTAGATGATTTTCTCATTGGAAGTTGTAATACTATGTACACTGCTTCTTGGGCACTAATTTCAACATTATATAGGAACTTACTCCCAATGTCTCTAAYTTGTTGTTTAATAGCACTATTTCCTTGTCTAGCTTCAGTGCAAGCCTCTCTCAAAAGTTCACTCATTCCTTTTTGACCTTTTGATATGTAATTCACTATATACACAGCACATGCATACCCATCTAATACAAACTGTATGTCCATATTAGCTCTCCATGGAGAGAGGCAAGCAGGGTTAATTGTAATTATTTATGCGTATTTCATTATGATTTCTCTTCAGGAATATAGTTGGTGTGTTTACAGATGACCTTACAGCATATAAATAGTTTTCTTCTGTGATATTGAGTTTCAAAGAACTTCTTCAAATGGARTTACTTCATCATCTTTGATTTCATCAAAAAATATCAAAATGGCTTTATTCGCATTAACTATTTGTTACAGTTATTGCTAAAGCTTTACAAGGTAAATAATAACGATAACAATAGTAATTAAAAAAATCATTACAAGATATATTTCTAATTATAAAATATTAATCATAAATTATT